CCATAAACGGCGATGCATGGGGGGGTGTTAGGGGGAAAGGTTCATATAGGTTTGGCATTGACGGGATGCCGTTGGAGGTCGGTTTTTTTTTTTTTTTTCGTCTTTTTTTTTAAAAGTCGGCGAACCGCCATAGGCCCCTAAGTGACATTGCATGGGGGGGTTGTTAACTTGTTAGGGAGACATGATTGTAACTTTTATTGGTGCGGCAAGTTGCCGGCAACGTCTGGATGTCGTGGGATTTGGTGTTTTTTTTTTTTTTTTCATTCTTTCTTTGTTGGTGCCTGTGAACCGTCATAAACGGCGATGCATGGGGGGTTGTTAGGGGGAAAGCTTTATATAGGTTTGGCATCGACGGGATGTCGGTGGATGTTTGTTTTTTTTTCCTTCTTTCTTTTTTAAAGACGGTGAACCGCCATAAGCCCCTAAAAAGGGCCCTATGTGACATTGCATGGGGGGGTTATTAGGGGGACATGGTTGTAACTTGTGTGGGTGCGGCAAGTTGCCGGCAACGTCCGGATGCGTGGGATTTGGTGTTTTTTTTTTTTTTTTTTTCCTTTGTTGGTGACGGCACTGACGGTGAACCGCCATAAACGGCAATGCATGGGGGGTTGTTAGGGGGAAAGCTTTATATAGGTTTGACATCGACGGGATGCTGGTGGATGTTTGTTTTTTTTCCTTCTTTCTTTTTTAAAAACGGTGAACCGCCATAGGCCCCTAAAAAGGGCCCTATGTGACATTGCATGGGGGGGTTATTAGGGGGACATGGTTGTAACTTGTATGGGTGCGGCATGTTGCCGGCAACGTCCGGATGCGTGGGATTTGGTGGTTTTTTTATTTTTTTTCCCTTTGTTGTTGACGGCACTGACGGTGAACCGCCATAAACGGCGATGCATGGGGGGGTGTTAGTGAGAAAGGTTTATATAGGTTTGGCATCGACGGGACGCCGTTGGTTGTTTGTTTATTTATTTTCTTCTTCCTTTTTTAAAGACGTTGAACTTGTGGTTGTTATTTTCTTATTTGTAGCGGTGTTTTCAATACTCGGGGAGAAAAAGGTCTTTATGTTTGTTCCTTCTCTTGTTTGTCGTTGTGGTTGTTATAGAACTTGTGTACCTTCTGGTGATTGTCCATCTTCTTCAGGTTCGTTTGTTGGATATTCGGCACAGTTCTTCATCGTGAGCTCCAGCTCCACGGTTCAGTTTACCCTTCTTTACACTTTCTTCAGCCTACGCAACATGTCCGCCCCACGGGACACAGGGAAGGGCCCTGTGGAGTCCTCCTCGGCGACAGGGAAGAGTTCAGACAGTGGAAGAAAAGGTCATAACACGAAGATCTTTGAATCCCCTTTCAAGGTGGATCCAAAGGCAGATGGGAAACGAGATGACCCTGTTTGGCATTTCGTTGCTCGTGGTCGTTATTTGGACGGGTCCAGTGCGGTCGGGAGGAAGAACGGTCGCCGTTGTATGTGCAGGTTATGCGGGCGTTCCATATGCGGGGGTGCTCGCGATGCAAAGGAACACTTTTTTCGTGGCGAGGGCTACAGATGCCCTGTGGCAACCCTGGCGGTGTGGCACGTGATTTGGTCCAAAGATATGTCAAAGTGTCCTGCGCATTTGGCTTCTGCCGTGCARGCCTTGCAGAGTCTCCCTCTAGGTCATCCCTCTTTCCAATGGCCATCGCTTCATTTTCCCGAGGACTCTGTTCCACTGCCTCCTTCGACCGCCGCCCCCTACCAGATGGCGCCATCTCCTCGTGCACCACTTGCTCCGCTCCCCCCTCGTCCCGCGACAGTCTCACCTGCACCACTTCATGCGACGACTGCAGCGCCCGTTGATGGTGCAGTTCCCGGTGGGTGCATGCGTGACTCACGTGCCATTCCATCGGTGCCGACGCAGCTTGATGTGCAAGGCACCGCACCAGTTTCGGATGTTGGGGGACCTGTGCTGTTCGACGAGCCAGGGACTCGTGCTTTCGTCGAGGGCCGAGGGTGGGGGAAGGACGCTGGAACATCGAGCGGCCTTTGCCCGGTGTTCACCGCGAACAGGGATAAGGTTGCTAGAGTTTGACGAGCAGCCGCACCTCCCCCACCGACACAACCACCCGCGACGGGACATCAGGCTGCTGCGTATCCATGGTTGTCGTCCCCTCCTTCGCAGACACGTGGACGGGCACCAGACTTCACTTCCGCACCTGTTTGCGAGGCTGCCGCAACGGTCCCTGCGGGGGCTGGCACCATCCCGCTCGACGAGCCCATTCAAGTTTCGGATTCGTCACCCACTCCTGCGCCTGTGACAACCCCGACCTCGCAACACGGTTTCTTTGGAACATTGGATCCTCTGCAAAATTTGCGCAACATTGCTGCTCCGAGCCCAGACCCACTTGCATCACCTGCGACTGCTGGCGGGGTGTGGGATTCGCTAGGTTGCGGCGCCATTGCACGAGTGAAGGGCACTTACAGGCAGCAGGCGGTGACATCGTATTACAACGACCCACTGGAGCAAGCATGGCACCTGCAAATCATGCGATTTCTTGTCGAGAGCGGCATGACGTTCAACTGTGTGAAGCTTGAGAGCTTCAAACGCATGTTGACAATGATCATCCCACCTGGGGTTCCCGGGTTGCCCACCCCGAAACCCCCGACATATCACATGATCCGTACCTCGCTTTTGGATGAGCTTGATGCGRAAGTTCAAAAGTGTGTGAAACCCGTCCTTGCTACTTCGGCAACCTACGGATGCACGATCATGACAGACGGGTGGACCAACATTCGGGGCCAAACGCTGTGCAACTACCTCGTCGGGACCACGCGGGGCGCGACATACGTCGCGACAGATGTCATGCGAGGAAAGAAGGATGCCGCCACTCTGGCACAGGCTTGGCTGCGAAGGTTGAAGTCCCTTGACATCAAGCTCGCAGACATCACCGCGTTCGTCACAGAATCGGCTAGTTCCAACGTTTCTGCGATGGAGGTGTTCCAGAAGGATGAGAGTGTTAAGCACATCTTCTGGATTCCTTGTGTGGCGCACGTCATGGACCTCATCCTCGAGGACATCGGCGACATTGAGTGGGTGGCGACCCGCATTGCTCAGGCGCGGGTGGTCACAAAGTTTTTCAAGCGCCATAGCCATGCTCGCGAGGTTTTGCAATCTTTTTCGACGATGGCACTATTGCTTCTTGCCGAGACTCGCTTCGGCACGTGTGTCATTATGATGCGGCGGCTTCTTCGGTTGCAATCGCATCTCATGAGGGTGGTGATCGACGATCGGTGGAAGGACACTGTTTGGGCGACGAAGAAGATTAGAGACGACGCCGCGGAGGTCACAGCATGTGTTGGTTGTCCTCGGTGGTGGGAGGATATGACGGCGTTGTGCAAGTTGTTGGATCCCATCATGGACATGTTGCAGATGGTGGACAGCGACACGAGGCAAATTGGCAAGATTTTGCGTCGGTACGACGAGATGATCGTGCGTTGTTTGTCAGCATGTGCCTCGTTTGACAGGGATGAGCAGGACGCAATTCTCGAAGTGTTTGACAGACGCTGCACAATGTTCAAGTCGCCTGCTCATATTGCTGCCATGATATTGGATCCTGAGTTTCGAGAACGCACGATGCCAGACGACGACGAGATGCAGCAGGGTTTGAAAGTCGCTCTTGTTCAGTTCGGGTACCCGGAGGGCTTGGATCAGCACAACGAGGTGCTGGCTGATGTTGACAAGTTTCACACCAGGGAACCGCCATTCGACGACGTGGCCATGGACCGAGTGGCGAGGAGCTACACCCATCCACCCACGTTTTGGGAGTCGAATGAGAAGAGGTTCCCGCACACGGCCTTCTTTGCCGGTAGGATACTGCGTGTGTGGGCGACTGCATCGCCCTGCGAGCGAGCATAGTCCCGCTGGAGCTTCATCCACTCCAAATCCCGCAACAGATTGGAGGTGCACGGGCCGAGAAGCGCTCGTGTGATGCCACTGGAACCTTCGACTTCTCGACAGGCAGGGTATGTAGGACGATGCTCCCAACGACAGGCCACATCCATACGGGAGCTGGGTGCACTATTGGCAGCAGGTGGAGGAGAAGGTGCCCACTGACCATCAGCTTGTCGCCGACAGAGGAGCCCGTGTTGCGGTGACGCATGAGGAATTGTTGCACGCTAGAGAGAGGATGCGTGCCGTGTCCCGCATGGGAGCCGCTCGTCGTTTGCGAGAGTCAGACAGGAGGAGACGTCGTGGAGGCGGTCGCGGAGGCGGTCGTCGGGGCGGTCATGGGCGAGGCGGGCGTGGAGGTCCTGACGGGAGGAGGAGTGTCGCGAGTCGTGGAGTGACGGCGGACCAGCTTGTACGCAAGCCTCGCCAG